AATAGGTAGAAAATTGTACTCAGAAGTGCATAAAAACATACACCTGGCATCTTTTTTTACCTACTTATTACATTTACGTTACTATGGAAACGCTTTGATCATACTTTTTTGTGTGACATAATTAGCTAAATTTTAATTCACTTCATGTAATTTGAAGTTTAGTAAAGTTAAAAAATAAAAACGTAACACTTTATTGATGTGGGAAGAAAGTTTTTCAAGTGGAATGATTCTTCAGTTTAAAATTTGCAAAGTGCAATGCTCTTTAAATTTGAAGCAGAGTAAAATAATGTGGTGTTATTTAGTTCGTTATAGTTAGCAGAAGAGTTCAGAAAATGGGCTTTGCTCTAATCGGAACATAATGATGCTTCAAATGTCTACTTATGCAGTACTTCAGATAGGATGTCAGTGAATAATTTCGGTGATGGACTCATTATCTGGATGCACTTGCATTACCCAGAGAATGGTAGTGTTCTCACTGAGACCCGAACCCACTTCCTATAGTTTTAAACGCCAAAGGGTTATCTACTCTACCACTTGGACGACGAGAGTCATCATCTGTTGTGCAGCGAGCATCAGTTACCGTTTGTTTTTAATTCCTTTTTGTTTCCTCATTGACTGGACTGAAATGTTTAGTTTCTGTTGACATATCGGTTTCTAGTACACATGCTTCGACAATGTTCAAGTATTAACTTGAAGTAATTTTGGCGGATGGTGACGAGTCTCGGATGGGACGAAACGCGAATCCCAGGGTTCCCATTATTCGTCACCATCCACCAGTAACATCATATCAATCCTCCGACATCGTCGAAGTGTCACTACAGGTGCCAATATGTCAACAAAGGCCGGTCCAATCAGTCAACACGAAAACCAAAATTGAATCAAAAATAAATAATGATGTTAATAAATTGATGTTATGCAACAGGCAGTGATTAGGCATTTACTATCACAATGTGAAAACTTCTTTATGCAGCATGCACCGCCAAAAATCTATGCTTAAGATATTATTTTCCAAAAAGCCTACCGATGAATTGTTTAGGAGTGAGTAGTACAACCCAGAGAATAGCAGTCAGTTCTCGTTTTACTTCGAATCATAGGGCTCGTCATCCTCCTTAGGTAGAAAACCTTTCTCACTTATATAACTTTTTAATTACTTACATCTCGATTAAAACATGGGGCTTTAAGCTTCAAAGATCCAATAGCGGTAGTCTGTTTTTACGTAGTAGAACCGCTGGCCTAATGCCCAGCCTGCTCGTATTACACGGTTTAATCTCGGTTAAACTAGGCGAGGTTTTGGAATGTGTCAGTAGGCAATCAAAGCCAGACCATATGCTTGATGGCAAGCATTCTGTCACCGAATCACCAACGCATATCTACAACTCCAGAAAATGTAAATTAAGTTAATTCAGACAAACGTTCATTACTGAGTCATCAGATTTCTCGTTTATAAGTGACACGATTCGAGATGAATATCTACCACTCATAATACTCTGAGCCTTGCGTGTGATTTGCTCTAAACCATAAGCGACATTCCAGAAGGCAGGTGAAATGGGTCGATGGTGTATACTAGTGATTGATATGAACATTAGGCAGTCATTCAGTTCAACCAGTGGTACTGGTTAGTCATATCACTGCTGGAAAAGTTCCACCAGTGTTTACAGGTAGCCTGTTGTGTAAAAGGACTTCCTCTGACAATATTCTAGGAGAGATAAAGTGAAAGAAGGTGGAATCTAGACTAAAGTCAAGCAGATATTTCTGCATTTTTCTCACAGAAGGTATTCTTTGAAGGTAAGCAGTGTAAAATATAGACTGGTCGCTTCCATTTTGTGTAACTATGCATATAAGCACTGCTATTAACATATATCTATGCTCTAACGAAAAGTAAAGTATGTAGATGATAGTCATATTGTTCAATGTTAAAGTTTTGATGCAAGAAGAGAAAAAATCTCAGCTACTAAGATAACAGTCTCTATTATTTTACATTCTATTCTTTAAACAATAACAAAAGCAATAAATAAGTATGATGGTAGAGATTTGTAGCTCAGGTGGGTGATTTTGGTGTAAGTTGTGTTCTGTGAGCTGGTTGCTTTAGTTGCGAAGCTTTCATCGTTTTACTAGGCAACATTTTCAGAGCGTACTCGAATTTAAATAAGTCAATGAAAGATTCTCAACTAAACTGTTCAGCTTAGAGAACACAACTACGCCGAAATATTTTAGGTTCTGCACACTTACAGGGACTTGTAGATAAATGGATACTTAATAATTAGTCAGTTTATCACAAAATGATTTTTCTAAAGACTAAGGTTTGGATTTTGAATGGTTTCTATTTAATTATTTTAGGTTTAGCAAGTCAAATAACTCTGTGGCAAACATATAACTTTACTGAAATAATACTGTATCCCGTGGATTTAAGATATTGGAACATCTGATGCAAACAGGCCACAAAGCCAGTGTCGATGAATCCTTCTCTATATTATACCGGGTGCCAAATAAATTACCAAAAACATCGAAGCACCGTAGGCTCCAAACAGCAGAGGCTATTGCGATTCGCCTCAAACAACCAGCACTCTGTGTCCGAAAGAAGCAAGTCCGGCCCCTACTATTGCCCTGGCCTTCAGTAGAAGTTATAAACTCATGAATTTGTAATATTATCCTTCTTAATTCTTCTAACATTCAGCTTATTTGATGTTGATGCGATTCAGCTGTAATCTATCAATATTATTGATTTGATGTTATTTAAACATTAATGTCGTTCATAACACTAATTCATTCATTCATTCACTATAATGTATGTATAAATGTACAGCCTGATGATGAAGTTATCGAAAAGAGTACTCTTTGTTCAGTATCCATTCTTTTGAAAATTTTGTTTGGACTAAAACTTTCTGTGTATAATTCATAGATAAATGCGATTTCTAAGGTTTAGTTATAAATTTCGGAGTCTCCTGTTAACTAACATCATGTCACATTTACATGTACTATAAAAACTGCTCTGCACAAAAATTGAATTAATTATTTTGTAGGCTTTATGCAGCCGACGAAATAAACGAAGGTATTATCTTATTCTTCACAAACCGTTATTCTTGCTTTTTTTCAAAATAATGAAATAAGAAATTTCCTCATAAATAAAAATATGTATTCTTGATGAACAGAAACTATATTTAAACATAGGTTGGTAGGTTTATCTTGACTTAACTGAAAGAAGTTAAGTGACATCTATGGCACAGAAACATCAAAATGTTTGAGACTTGAATCAGCTCTTGAAGTGAGGATAATTGTTTTCATATCAAGATTTTTTGTTCCTTTACGTTCCCAGTGGAACGTAGGGCTTCAAGGTAATGGCTTGAAGTTTCGGTAAAAGTGGTGTTTATTTTTACGGGGTGGGGTTACTAGTATTACTCCCAACCTTCCCTCTTTACCAGTATTATTACTGGAGTGCACCGACAGGGAATAGAACCTCAGACCACCTGCATGGTTAGCGAGCATTCTGCTGCTATGCCACCGACACACTGACGCCTCCGGGTGGGCTCGAACCACGAAACCTTTCGATTAACAGCACTGAAAACACTGCCAGTAAACAGCTCGTTGTCAGCATATTGTATCAAAGTGAGCGTTTATTTTCGTTGAAATTCGACTTGGAAACCGTTTGAATAGAAGTGGCTTTTAATAAAATTGTGATATATTTGTCAAAAATGTTGAAAACTGTGTATTGCTTAGATGGCATGTTATCCTGGACTGATTACGGTACTCTTTACATGTATGTCGGTTGCAAGAGTTTATGTTGAAATAACTAGAGGAGGATATTTTCTTATATGAATAGCTACATTTTGTGAAAGCCGTTCTTTATTTTCGACATAAATTTATCTTCTATAGTTAGCTTGTAAGGATTAGTTTTGTTTTTACTTGATCACGGATTGATATCAGGTAGAGAACCATTGAAAACCGGCAGGGAGTACTCGATAGCTGTTTCATCCTAGTTCGGGATTCATCGACAGTAAGCATGCACCACCTCGGTTCGAACCCAGGACCTTCCGGTTACTAGGCAAGCTCCTATACCATTCAGTCACTGGGAACCGATTCAGTAGCCAGTGCATGAATTCTAACTTCTACCAATTCGTAGTGTTAGCGTGACCCCAACTAATATTTTCGGTGGGACACCCATCCTCACACTTGACTGGATGGACGTCGCTGGTCACGGCTTCTCACTGGAACTCCATAGATAGACTTATCTGATTGATTACTAAGAATTTTCGCGGTTATTTACAGGCAAGCGCTTGTCACCTTTAGTCACTTGTAATGAGAAATTTGATTGAATTATGAGCGAACACTTGTTCTGTAAACCTTACCCAGTCATCAACAGTGTATCGCTGTATGTTATATGAAAGAAACTTATCTAGTATTAAAACTGGCATTCTCGCGGTAGCCTACCTAGCCTACCAGAATTGCTATCCATCAAAATGTTCCAACTCTTCTGCATTTATCATTGTTTTAATCATTCACTTATATCAAATGATCACTGCATGAACCCGAGCTCACATTTAATTAGCTTCCAACCAAACGTTGTGCATTTCTTGAAGGAAATGAAGAAACTACTTAGAGAGTTGGTTCTCTCTTCATTAGCGACAACAAACACTACTTCACATGATATCTTTCAGATTATTACTTTATGCGTGAATCCCTTATGAAGAGGAAATATTTTGGAAGTGAATATGCTGAAAATTTCTGTACTATGTGTTCACATATTGTCTGAAATAAAGCTTTATTATTATCATATTCTACAACAGAGCCTGAATTCTACTCCTACATTATATTCTCAGATACTTCTTTTTTGTCAGGATATAGTGTCCTACGAAGAAATGATAAATGAATTTCTTTAATGAATCTTATTAACTGAAATACCTTAAATTATGAAGATATATATAATATATATATATATATATATATATGATAAGCGTTAATTAAATTAGGTATATTAATTTATCACGAATATCACCAGAACTTACGTGGTGTACTGAATCTCCTTAAAACGGTTTCAAGAAAGATGTTTTGTGGAGCCACCAAACCTCTGCGTGAACCAGCCATATTAGTTTGTTTGTTTTAAAAAGAAACTCTATGTTAATATATTAAGGATCCCATGAAATAACTCTGGTGTAATATCGATAAATAATTATTTCCACAAGGTGAAATATATATTCAGTTGTTTATACAAATAAATATATGTTTTTGCAGCAGTTTTTCCAGGGATATTTGAATAAGCCATATGTGTGTGTGTGTTCGGATATATTTCCTCGTAATATTTTTTGACGAATACTAATAGTTGTCTAACACGGAAGGTAGAAATAAATTGGTTAAATAATTAAACATCGTTTATTTCATAGAGTTTGAAGTTTTATCCACCTTATTTACGAATTATGCATCTCACTTTATATTGATGTGAATGGGAAAATGAACAGTTGTTTTGTTTTGCACTGGGATTGGTGGATCTGAAAATATGTAAACGCTTGAATGCTATTGGCTAATCGAATGTATCCACTGTTTAAAAGGATACTAAACAAACAAACAAACAAACAAACAGCAAGAACAACAGCAACTTGAGATTAGCAAAAAAGATACACTTTAAGGAAAAAGGTAAAATAAGAGACAACATCATAACTAGGAGGAAAAAAATTAATACAGTAAGGTGTAGTACAGAGAAGAGAAATAAAGTTTCATTACTTAGTTGCCCTAAAAATTCTTTTTAAAAATAACACACATAAGCTTAGCATACTCAGCTAATTTCTTATAGATAATTCATAAACTGATAAGGAGTTAACTGCTTAAGATATTACTCACATTTATTTAAAATGTTTTATAATTAAGGAAAATTAAGGGATGAATTTTGTGTTTCATGATTTCTGTGATGTTTTTTCTTCTACATTTCATCTATTCTGAGTGGAATGTGGAACTTACAGCTTTCAGGGTTTCTGTGACAATGTCGCTAGTTTCTTATGAGGGTGGGTGGGGTGGATAGCTTCACACATACATAATATTTCCTCTTTTTGGGGGTTTAGGAAAGCGTTGGTAAGGAATAGACCGCAGAATTCTTGGAGCTTAAGTTGTAATTCATTTCAAGTTGTGGTTTGGAAGGTTTTGTGTTTTTTTAAACACTTTCAGAGTTTGACATCAATGCCAGATTTCTATTCAGCATCTCGTAATGAACTAATTTTAGTTTCTGTAGAGAATTAGACTTCTTGATACTAATTATGGATTCAAACCCTGATTCGTGTCCAATTAAGTTAAATATCTAAGGATTACAATGAAGTCGTTATAAGTCATTTTGTAGCCGATTTCAAAACAGCAACCTAAAAGTTACCAGTATGACAGAACTACTTGTCACTTGGTTTTTGAATACAGCACAATTTTTCAACGTCTATCTAATTTACTATGTGTTTGGATATCTTGTTATGAACTTTTGGAATCTATTGTCATAAAGCCTTGTTTAACTTAAGTGTATTGCTTCTTGAACTTCTTAGAAATGATTTTAACTAAAACGAGGAATACTAAATTGTGATGTCATTTAATTTGTTTCTTTCTTTTCCTTCATGTTCCTAGTGGAACATAGAGCCTCAAGCTAGTGGCTTGAAGTTTCTGTAGCAGTGTTTAATTTCACAGGATGGGGTTGCTAGCCTCATACCTAAACTTTCCTCTTTACCAACATTATTGTTGGCGTAGCGAGGTAAAGGAGTGAGTCAGTGGCCGGGGATCGAACCCCGGAAGATGTGCATGAACGGCGAGCGTCCTAACCGCTGTGCCACTGGCGCACGTTTAATTTGTTTAAAGACCAGATATTGTTATGAACTGTGAACACATTTTAGTAAAGTATCAGTGTTCAATAAACCAAAACAAGCTTCTTCTCCGCCTTTATTGGTATGTTCTACAGCTAATTCCACCCATTTATGTTATCTGTACAGGACATAATACAGATGAATCAGAAAAGTGGAGAAATATTTTTCAAGTGTTGGCTTGTAGGGATTTGATTGGTTTCAGGATTTCATCATGAGCTGACATTAGTTAGAGAACCATTGGAAAACCTGGGAGTACTGAACAGCTGTTTCGTCCTGGTTTGAGACTCTTCAGTAGTATGCACCCAGTAGGGTGCAGTCGGTCGGGTGTGAGGACAAATACTTGCTGAAGATATTGACTAGCGGTTGCGCTATGTCGTGAATTGGCATAAGTTAGAGTGCATGGGCCGTTGGATTCGGTCCCGGTGGCTTAATGGTGTACCAGTTCGCCTTGCAACCAGAAGGCCATGGGTTCGAATCCCGGTGGATGCGTACTGATGAAGATTCCCAAACTAGGACGGAAGAAACAGCTGTCCAGTACTCCCAGGTTTTCTAGTGGTTCTCTAACTAATGTCAGCTCATGATGAAATCCTGAAACCAAATATTTTTCAAGCTAAAATATGATACACACGAATATCCACAACTATTTACAGATATCTTTTAAAACTTCTATCGCTGTTAAATGCGAAAGCTGTATGAACAGTTCACCCATATCAAGAAGACTTTTTGGCAATAAGTTAAGCACAATTGCTATCGCTTTTATGTATCCCCATTCAGTAACATATGAGTTCGAATACAGTGTTGACGTCTAACTGCCTAAACGGTATGCGTTAGTTTAGATACATGTGCATTTGTGACAGTAGTAGTTGTAGTATGGGTTTTCCTCTGACAACAATTTATACATGAAATATTAGTAGCACCTGAATAGCGGAGGAACGAATTAAATGGCATTGAGGAAACATGAAGATAATTACGAAGACATATAGAAATAATATATGCAGAGTAGCATGAAATGGAGAGAAATAAGCAGAAAACAAATACTTTAGGCAAAATTGAATTCAATTCTAAGGTTTTTGTATGTCGCCCTTTACTGTAAGTCATTTCACGAAGTAAACAAGTGTACCCCGTCTGTGCTCTGTCGTTACAGAAGTAGTAGTAGTAGTAGTAGTAGATGAAGAAGAGAGAGAAAAGGAAGGAATATGAAGCAACATTCTTATTTAAGACACTGTCTGAAAATAATCAAATAGCAAGCTATATCTATTCACATAGCCTTTGTTGTACATGTAACACTGGTTTTCACATCCGAACAATTACTCCAACTAACTGTGATAATCAGGTCGCTTTTATTTTTTGTGAATTTCAATTTTTTAGATGGTTTTCTGATAAATGCTTAGTGTGTAACCGCAAAAGGCAAGACACGGAAGTCAAGGTATATTCTCAAGTGATCAAACCGTTATATATATATACAACTGTAATTCTCTAACCAATCATTAAACGTGTGATTTTTACTTACACTAAACGATGTGAAATGTTCTGTTGCTAACGCAGTATTGAACTGTTAGAATACGTGAGAATAACATTCCGTTGGAACACATTGTCTGTATCACACCACCTCAAGTGTAGTTCATGTTTTAACGGCAAATTTTCCCGTGCGTGCATAAAACCTTCTTTAAATGTGTTCTGTTTCAATTGGATAAGATCTTTCTTGTAACTGCAGTGATACAGTCCTTTGAGAAGTGCATTATCATATTACCACTTAACCAGCTAAACAAATTTTCAATTGATAGATTCTACAGGGAAATATTTTTTGAAATATATGCTGATTTTTTAAAATTTGTTTTACTTTTATTTGTCGAAGAGAATTTCCCCACTTAACTAACACTTATAATAAAAATTAGAAAGATGCCAGGAAGTTGAATTCACTCAAGAAATTTTGACGAGAACCTGTCGGTTGTTGTTAGGATACATTTTTCTGTCATCCTACAATTGTAACAGCAAAAACCACAATTTAATTCTCTCTTAGACGTGAACTTCTGACGTGGGACACTTTGATTTGAATTGGATATTATTACTAATTTTTAATAATAATTCTAATTTCAATTAAGCACGAATTACAGTTTGTGCAGAATAATATGATACTGTCATTTATTATGTTGAATTCCCATCATCTGCTCACAGCCTACCAATTTACATGTACGTGCCAAAGCACATACATTGGAAGAACAGAGAGAAGGGTTAGTGTCCGCATTTATGAACACATACCCAAAGAACTTGAGTTTGAAAGGTCCACAAGCATTAAACAGTGCTATTGCTCGTCATCTATTGGACACTGGTCATATTGTAGACAACCTGAAGTCGTTTAAAATAATCAACAAGCAAGAGAAACCTAGCTTGCTACGCTTTGCTGAAGCAATTACCATCAAACGACTTAAACCAAATCTATGTACGCAGAAAGAGACAGTGGTAAATCCTGCACTGCCCTGGTGATAACAAAAAAAATATACAATTTTCATGAGTCACCTTCTCCATGTTGAGAAAACTCTACTCTCTCATCTAAACATGGCTCACCCTACCTACCTTGTATCTTTTCTTTCCTTTTTTCTATTGGCTATTAGATAAGATGTTTTCTTTATTTACGTAATCTGCCTTTTGTCATGCTCTTTCTAGCCAAACCTTATTGCTATACACACACACACATACATATACACAACCCTGTTTATTTTAATGTTTCCAAGCCTAATTGTCTAATGATTCTATAAATAGTCAGTGTTTGTAACTCCTAATCAGTTAAATCATTCCGGACTAATGTTACTTTTAATTCCTACCAATTACTCCTTACGATCGTGGAAAAGTATGTTCATATCTTTAATGTAATTCATATTTTTTAACGTTCAGGTTGTAACCAGTTGAGAAGAATCCTCGAAATAATAAAAGATGACCTCGTATTATCCCAGTACAATTGTTGTTCTTGCTTTGTTCAATTTTATTAATGGGAAGAATTGCATGAAATTATTATTACTTTCAAAAGTTGGTTTGTAAGGAGTAGATTTGTTTTTACGAGTTTGACCGCGGATTGATATCAGTAAGACAGCCATTGAAAGCCAGCAGGGAGTAGTGGACAGCTGATTCATCCTAGTTTGGGAATCATCAGCAGTACACACCCACCACCAGGGTTCGAAAACAGGACCTTCTGGTTACAAGGCAAGCTCGTAGGTCATTCAGTCACTGGGACCCGATCCAATGGTTCTTGAATTCTAACTTCTACCAACTCGTGGTTTTAGCGCTCTAACAACAGAAGACAAGACACGAAAGTCAAAATATATTTCATTAACCAATCACTGAGCGTGTGATTCCAGTTTACATCAAACGACATGAAATAGAATGTTTAAATATACAAAGTATTCATTATAATGAATCAATCTGACTCGGCGCTCAAATTATTCCAGGAAATTCGTAACACCTACGGTCTGGAAACCTATAATACAAAGTATTCTTTTGTTAATGCAGTGTATAACCGTGCGAAAAGTGTTCTGTCTCTGACATCAAACAGAATGTTAAAATAGATATATTGTATCCTATTGCTAATATAATCT